AAGTTCTTTGTAAATTCTTGCCCACCTAAGGGCCTCCTTGTAATTATTCAAATATATCTTAATAAAAGAATGTTAGGGTGCTGAGAGAGAGTAGGTTCAAAACTCTCATTCTCAGACCCTCATTGCTGAACTCTCAAGCTCTCCTCTCTTCAGTTTTCTTCACTTATTAAACATTTAAACCAGCTGAAGCCAATGTTTTCAATTTATTTTCTCAAAATTTGATAATCTCACTTTCTTTTGGAGTAATGGATATGGGCTACTTCAGAACTTAAAGATATGCATTCATTTACTTTCCATTTTCCAAGTCTGTTTCATGTCAATTAATAAATGGTTTCAGGTTTTAACTATATGCAACAGGCACCTAATATAGTTGTTTTAATGGTTTCTCTCCAAATATAGATTGATTCAGTGGCTGAGGAAGTTGAACGGAGGAACTCAACTGACGATATGGTATGCTTGTACAAGATGCTCAAGTTTTTCCCTTTGTCCAATCCCCCACCCCTGAAAAGAAGGTGATGGAGATGATCATCCCAAGCTTTGTTTCTTTACATGGACCTAAATTGTGCTCATCTTTACAGGTATTTATATATGGAGGTGTAGGCCCTTTGCATTCAGATGTTTCTGTAGCGGGTGTTGCAAAAGCTTTTGGAGTTCGTTTGGTGCGCTGCATTACTTCACAAAAGCATTTGATATGCCAAATCATTTTTTTATTTTTTGCAAAATTGTTACAGAACTACAATGCAGAACCTGCAGTGCTAACCAACACAACCTTCATTGCAGAATTACAACTCCCCTTCCCCCCCTCTTGGGGGACTAATCCCCAAAACAGTTGGTTCCTCATTGCCCCTTACCTTGCAAGTGAATCTTCCAAAGCATTTGTAGACCTAGGAACCCAACCTACTCTAGCTTGGAGTGCACCCAACATATCCTTTACTCCCTATTGGGTGGCATTGCTTTGATTTGGAATTTTTTTTCTGTTTCCTTTTCTTAAAAAATTATCCTTTGCTCAAAAAAAAATGTTACGTTTATTATAGACCTTACATGAGAACAAGTCTTTGTTACAGACACCATTATGTGAAACCATAACAAGTATGAAGAAGAGGGCTCTCAATTGAATTCAGTAAAACATACTCTAGCATATTCACTATCAAGAGATGAAAGCTTGCATTTAGAAAATGGTTCTAGTTAGCCTTGTTGTTTTGGGACACCTAAGAAACCAAATTTCAACCAAGCCAGAAGATGACATTGTTTGCAAGTGGAGATCAGTTTCACCCAAGATGTGAAAGAGAATAAAATTATGAATGTTTGTTTGGAAACAGAACCCTCCAACCTAAGGTCCTTCCAGAATCATCCAGGCCTGTATTAAACCTAATGAACTGCTGAAACCTAGGGAATGTGTGGCTACAATAGCTTTTCCAGGACAGGAAGGGTGATAAGTGACAACCATTAACATGAAAATCTTACATATTGGGAAACAAATCATTACTTATAATAACCAAATGCCAGACCTTGAGGTTACCTAGAAAAATTTGGTAACCAATTTCTGGGAATGCAATGTCTCTCCCTCACTCTTCTTGAACGCAACCTGTCTCCACCTTAGTTTTGCACCCTCGTATCCTAATTAATGAGATGATCTTACTTTGGTTCCCCTGTTATTGGAAGGAAGTTTCTCTGGATGGGATCAACTCTCTTCATCACTTAACTAATGCTTTAATGGAAAGAAGAATTCTTCTTTCCCTTAAATCTTTCAATATCCATGTTCTCCATTTGGTGTTCAAGAAATGGTGCAAAACTATATCTTATTCCATAGGTTTGCTTTTCTCAAATTGCAGGCTCCTGATGAAGAGTTTGAAGAGTATCTTAGACATCTGATAAGTAATCAATGTAATGGTGATAGAAATGAGGTAATTTAATCTCAAGATACTAGAATGTTCATTATTTTTTATTAATAGTTTTGAATTTATGTGGCACACTTTAAAACATGTGTTTTGTGTCCAATTTCAGTCACTTCAGTTGTTAAGGTAAATTCCATGTTCGGTACCGTGGCCTGTCTATGTTTTGTAGGTTTTGATTCTATATGCATTTTATATTTTGAATGTGTATGTGTTCTATCAGTACTAAACAAGGAAAAAAATTAGGGGCTTTCTATTTTAAGAAAATTTCAGGTATTAACATGTGCTTATGTGCAACAGTAGTATTCAGTGCTTCTCTAGCATTATCGTCCTTTCAGCATTAGGAGGTAATACTATAATTTTTAATGGTAGATAGATGCCTCTTAGCTACATAGAAACGCCAATATCGAAATGTTCATTATTGGTCAATACAGGCTGAATCTCTAGCCCTACTTCAAGGTCTAAAGATGGCTGAGAAGATAGGAACAACAGACTTAGAAATAGAAGGAGACTCACTATTGGTCATCTCTTGGGCCAAAAACATCACATCAGTACCTTGGAAGCTCAAATTTATCTTCAGAGAAATTGACACACTTGCAAGGAAGTTCAACTCTCAGTTTGGTTGGGTCAAACGGGATGGTGGATACCCTAGCAAAACAAGGGGCAAATA